GGTATAAAATTTTTAAATTTGGACTAATATTAAAAATTTTGGTTTCTTGAAAGTAAACCTATAATACTCTTCACGGACTACAATGTGAAAAATAATAATAAAAATATTTACAATCAATTCAATTATAAATTTAGGATATAAATATAAAAAATAATAAACTATTTTTATTTTTACAAACTTATTATTTTGTGGAAATCTACAAATTAGAAATTGTTTCGTTATTGACTTAAAGTCTAGACAGCGGGTTGCAAGAACGATTGTTAAAATCTCTCGTTAGCTAAAGAACAAATAACTAACTGAGATTAAAACTGGCAACGGCGCTTTTCCAACTGACAGTCTGCCGCTTCACAGCTGATCACGGGAGTTTTTTAAATTAATGAAGTTAATTTGGTAATATTTTTTCGAAAATTAATTACAAATAAAGTAAAAAATGAAATTGAGGCTCAACCTTTACGGCTATGGTTAAATGTTAACACTATCCCTATCTTTTTTCGACATCGGCTCATATTTTTAATAGACAGAAGCAAGGACAGTTGGTTCAGAGAAAAAATGTTTTACACATGAATATAATTTCTTAAAATAAAGAGTGGCTTAAATGAAGAAAAGGTTCCAATAAGTCACTGGAAAAAGAGGAGAATACTCATTTAACTACCCTTCTAGTAGTGCTCAATTAAAAATATGTGATTTGTGGTTTAAAGCAACAGTACTTAAATATAGTTTGTCCCTTTTATATAAACTAAAACTTTTGTCACACCATGGAAAAGTACATTTCTTTCTACTGTACATTATTTTTCAAATAGAAGTACATAATTAAAAATATGTTTAGTTTTTATCATGTGTGCAAACCCCATTTACTGTGGAAATATTTCTAATGTATTTTCTATTTTTAACAGACTTCAAAAAAGAAGTAGGTTCTCAATTCATCGGAATATATTTTTTTATGGATATTTAGCGACAATTCTTTACTATGTTGTCCGATTTCTGATTATTTTTATTTTTAGAAAGGGGGCTCTTCAGAGATGGTTCCATAATATAAATTTGGTAAAGATCTGATGATGGGATTCATGAGAAAATAATCACTCTTCGTTTTTTGTAGTCGTCAGTTTTTTTAAATTAATTTTGTAACTTATACATTTTTCAATGAATCAAAGTAAAAAACTGTTTAAATTGGGAAATTTCTAAAGTTCAGTATCTATTTTTTAGTTAGAAATGGAAAACTGGAGGAGAGATGGTAAAATCTCTGGTATGAGAAATAAATTCACATTTGACCTATTCTTGAAAAACATATACAGTTCCTTTTTGAATCCCTTCAATTTGGGTGCTATATTTCTTTGCTAATAAACTAATGCTAGAATTTATTTTTTATTTAAGAACAACTTTCTATTTGTACAATATTGGAATTTCTAGATTGTTGAGAAAATTAAATAATTATGATATGATAATTAGCTTTTATAGGTTGTGTAATAGTTGAAATTTAGAATATTAAATAATTGATACCATGTATAAATTACACTTATTTACCTTAATATATTTGCTTTCACATTTGTAATTTACAGATTTGTAGGTCATAAATAAAACACCAAATTCATTTTAAAATTTTATTTTTTAGGATTAAATTAATATACACAAAATACATAACATAATAAAAAAATATAGTAAATCTACAATAAATAAACATACATTTAATTTGCCCATCATTATTAAGAATTCTAATTCTAGAAAATAAACATTCAATCCAGGATTTCTTTTTGGTTATGACAGGTTTCAAGTTGACTAGTAATTTTGTGTTAAAATTTACAGTTTGCCTAACGTATTGGATACGTCTACTTTGCCAGTTCCACATATTTTATAAATGTATAAAAAGAAATGGATTATTTCAACATAGGTACAAACAATAAAAATGTTATTACTGATAGTAGTTTACTGCTAAATATTTACTTTTTCTGAAAATAGGCAGGAAAAAACTATAAAATAATATTAAATATGTTTGAGAATGTATTAATACATAACAATTATACGAATTAAAAAGTGTTTAACAATATAAGTAGAGATACCAAGCTCCACAGTTATATGGCTTAAAATTATTTATGCGATCATCTCATGAAATATTTTAAAATACTTAGCAAACACCTATATTACTACAAAGTAATGCCTATTTACAAATAAAAATATATTGCTACCAGGCTATACCACCGTCATAAGCCAAACCCCCATAACTGACAAATTACAAATATTTGAGGTTATTTGACCATTCTGATACTGGCCCATTTTTCTTTTTAAAAAGTAAACAAAATACCAGCAATTTTTATTCTGTATCCTAAAAAGTCAACTTGATTCTACAATGTAACTAACATTTTTCTAGATAATTCTTATCAAAAATCAACCCAAAACATTAAATCACATTTATATAACTAGTTAAAAACATTATTCAAAACTTGTATTTAATATAACAAAAGCAGCTATATTGGTAACACATATCAAAATACTGGCACTAATAAATTTCTTTTATTGCATATATCTCCATTCTATAGTTTGTGTAGTTACTGGGGCAGTATAGATATTTTAAAGTTTTATTTGTGAGCCAAGCCTGTCTTGTTTCAAGATTAGTGGTCCATACAACAATATTTTTAATTTTGTTGTTACAAAGTTTTCCTTTTTTAACTGTACGGTTTTGCTTGAGAGTCTGTGCAGGGGGATCGGCAGAGTCCACTTGGGCCAGGGAAGGGTTTAGTAGATTCCTTGGGAGTGAAGAGACTACTAGGAGAAGCACCTAAGGAGACTCCACTGGAAAGAGGCATAATATCAATTATTGATTTGTTCACCTACAGAATAATAAATATATATGATTCTAGAGCTCATAAAAGTATGTTCCAAAATATAATGATATAACAAAATTTATATAGAGATTCAACGATGATATTTAGCTGCAGTTAACTAGGACTCGTGTAATTATTTATTGCAATGCAAGAACCTAATTAGACCTACAGTTATACTTTAATAAAATGTGTAAAAGTTCCCTTCAATTCCAAATTTGTCTTCATATTACACTAATTTTCCTATCAACATACAAAGTATTTGTGATAATTATACAAGATGGTCCAAATTTGACATGTTTATAAGATATTACTAAATTAGCAGGGGATAAAGCACATTTATGTTGCACCTTTTTTTAACTAAGCATGTTATTTTAAATCCAGTTATAAATTGCTTCCCTGAGTAAAATGCAAGAGTGATTTTTAAAATATCATTATTTTGTTTGGGTGTTCAAATAAAAAATGGTGTTACCTCGAAAATGTGTACCCCTTGAAAAAATAATAAGTACGACAATGGATTTTACATATGTAACTATGTCAAATTATTAAATTGTTTTTCAAAATAAGATTTTTATTTGAGATAATAAATTATGATAAATTTAGAAAATCACCCTATAGTTTCTAAAAAGGATTTATAACAACTAAGCATTCCATGTTTTGTTTCTCAAAAAAGGTGACAATGGTGGGTTATAAGGTTTCGATATCCAGTTGTATCATGTGAAAACGTCGAATTTTGACCACCATGTATAATAAAACAGCTAAGTTTAAATAAAATACTTTCTTACCAAAGAATGTAGCAGTGGAATCAAAGGAATTCAACGGGGACTCTATTTGATTATAAAAAATGCTTTAATTTGAGCCCATCTCATCAAGTTGGAGATTAACCACGCCTCCTTCTTGTTTTTCACCCTTAAATAAATAAGGAAATAATTTAAATAAACAAAAATAATACCAAACGTTAGATATTTCCAATTTTATTTTTTTTTAACTTTAGTAGTTTGAAAAATCTTTAAAATGGGAAAAGACAGATATTGCTAAAATTGTATAAATAATAACACATACAAAAGAAGTTTTATATTGTATATAATATAAAAGTAATTTAATTTCTGTTTAAATTAAAATCCTATAAATCAATCTTTTAAAATATAAAATTTGTGTTAAATAACATTATAGGCTTTGCTTAGAAAATTAACTTTAAACATATTACTGCACAAATTTTTAATTTGATTTCAAATAATTTTTTTCTTTTATTACTAAGAAGGCACAATATTCTATACTATATAGAAGGTAAGTATATTAAAGTTACTGTCCCAGGAGGGTCGGTGGGTGTACAAATTTTATGAATTTGCAAATGTTATGTATTAAAACAATAAAAGTGTTCCTTTGAATGAAACAAATACGAACCTTGTCCTGTCTCTCCTTCTATTTGACCTCTTGTAAAGTTTAGTTTTCTTTTTGTTGTAAGTATCTCACTTTTAGATGTCCTTATATCAGTTTTATATTTAATAAAAGCTAGTTATTCCTAATTAGTATTTTGGCCAATACAACTTCTTAGCCATGCAATAAAGAGATCTTCTATAATTACCTAAAATTTTAACCCCAAAAATGTAGTTGGAAATACAAATTAAGATGTAATAAAGTGAATGTTTTTGAAGGAATTTTATGTACTTGTTATTAATTTACTTACCAAGTGGTTTTTCTTCTATCTTTAGCAGTAAATTGCTTGCGATTTTTGTTGTCAAACATTATAATACTTCAACTAAAGAACTAAAATTGAACTTTTATAATATATATTCAAAGTACCTCTCGACACTCACATAAATTGGCTGGAAAATTGAAAATAATTGAAAAATTCTAAAATATTAATCCATAAACATTAATCTGTCAAAGTAAATGACGAGCAGAGCTCTGACAGAGGAAGCGCAGTTGCCAGTTCACGTCGTCGTTAAAAATTAACAGAAGAATGCAACCCGTACTACACCTTTAGTAAAAGATTTGGGTTCAACGAGTCATTAGATATTTAACGATCGTTGTTGCAACCCGCTGATACTATGACTATGATAACCCTTTCGCGCATATTGATGTGATGTAGCTGAACTCTTCACTATAGAAACAGAGTCTACCTACTCTTTTTTATAACTACTGAAACATTGCCAATGACATATAACATTGCCTATAATAGAAAAACACTTATAGCCAACTGTAAATCCCATTATTCTGTCAATCTTCATATATGTCATAGTTTTTACAGCAACATAATGTACACTAATCACATTCTCAATTATTTACAAGGCTGTGATGAAGACGAAGTAATAGAAGATACTGTAGCCCAATGGGAGCTAGACCAACAAGACAGGTACCAAGATCTCATAAGTTTCGTTGACGAATTCATACAATCCGAGGAATACGAAAATTATTTGGCTACCAAAAGGAACATAGCTAAAATTGATGCTGCTACCAATTATTCCAAAAGCGACTTCGCTAAACAGTACGATGCAAAAATAGAAATAGAAAAAGATTATCCATTTACTGTTTATTCTAAAAAGATGTTCGCTTTTATCAGGAGATTTAGAGAGTATGTTAATAATGAGAAACATTTAGAAATCTTCCTCAGGCAAATGAGAGGAATACGGATAATAAAAGTAAGCGCATCAATAAGAAAGTGATGATGATCTCTTGTCTACGATAGTTTCTCTCGATGTTAAACTTCTCGATGGCGTGAATTTCATCCTGGAAGATGCTTGGATGTTTTCCCAAGCTTTCGGAGTGCTTGGTTCTAAGCCCATACACTCCTATTCAGTTTCTTCTATGGTATTGGAACCATCCATATACCACGGAATAGCATGTCTTTCAGTTGCAAGCACGATGGATTCTTGGCACCATTCTTTCTTGCAGCCCAGCTCTGTGGTTTTGAAGATTTTTCCAAAACTGTACTAAAACTGATACTAAAGAGTCGAAAGATAAACTATACAAAAATGCAAAGAAAAGGGTCTGTAGTATTCTGAGCCTGTGACTAGTCAACGTAGACTGGAATAACTCCAGACCGAGTCCACGTTGATCATTTAATTTTGTACATATTACGCGTTAAACGATACGCCACCACCAGTTAAATATGAAACTACTCATGTATAGATTAATGTGACCTTGAGTGCATTTCTGGTAACATTTTCACACGATAGAAAATTGTTATCGTTTGAGGTAACTCCATGCAGGAAGAATAATTTGTAACTCCTTAATATATTATTTGTAGACCTTGACAGTACCCAAGACAAATTTTCTCGATAATACCAATCTTGTCAATAACCTAGCTGTTGATTTCGTTCTTTCCATATTTGAAGGTTTGGTAATACTTTCCTTGTCCTTTTTACTTTTGTGGTATTTATGCACATTTGCATCCATTCCTGCATAGTTATTTCGCGTTCTTCTCTTCGTTTATTTTGTCCGTCTGTGTTTTTGGAGAGCCTTCTCCTTTCTTTAGCCTTTACCTCAATTGGGATTATCCTTGCAATGACCAGCACTGTCTCTGCCGATATCTCCCATAGCCTATCGTTATTTTTAGAGCCATTGATCTTTGGATCCTCGCATATCTCTTTCTGATATACTCGATACTCATGCCAGATCGGTGAGGCGTACGACATGACGGATTCAGTAATATCCTGTTAGAGTTCGGACCCCCAACTGTTGGTATAATTTTTTTTAAGGCTACCCCTAGCTTTGACGCATTATCTTTTCAGATATATGCCCAGCGAATGTTATATTCCTCTGCAGCTATGCCCCTAAGTATTTTATTACCCTACTTATTACCTAAACGAGGACTTCTGACTTCAGTAATTCATCATTGATGCTAAACCTCTAAGAATTTTTTAACCCTACCTATTACCTAAATGATGACTTCTGACTAAACTTCAGTAGTTCATCATTGATTCATTACTCCTTAGTTATATTTTTGTGATAGAATGGGCAACTCTTTCTCAGATTTCTATTCTAAGCTATCCTAAGGATCTGTACTCAGCCCCACTTTCGATCATAGCTGTATCTGTTCAGTGGCCTTTCAGTTATTTTAATATACTCTGTATTTCAGGATAAAATCGAAGAATTCAAGAAATACACTATTCTATACGCCGAAGATATCAGAAAACGAAAAGTGAAAGTATTCGACGACCTCTTGAACGAATTTTGCGAAACGTTTCACGTCGATTGGTCGAAAATCGAATCGAAAAACAGAAAGACGAAAGAAAGAATAGCTTCTTTTTGCGTAATGCTACGAACCAGATACATAAACAGAAAAAATAAATACGCTCGTATCGCAAAAATGATAACGAAAGAAATCAGAAATGACAAACGCGCTAAATTAGGAACGTTGTACAAGATTGAAAAGAATGAGTGGACTGTTAATGATTTAGAAATAGTAGGAGTAGCATTTAAGGTATTATATTCATGTAATACTTTTGTTTCTAAGTAATTTATTTTGTGACAGGCTTCAAGCTTCACCTGTAGTGAAGGGGGAAGTCGTGTTTGGTGAAATTAGATCAAGGTGTGCTCATGCGCTAATTTTGTTAACGCAGTTTGATAAATGACCCTCTAGTACACCAGACAGTACTTCAAGTAGACTCAGTGGAATTAAAAATTCCTCCAGGCGGTCATCGCTAATGGGGTAGCCACAAAAATGCAATAAATGAAACTACACCACCTCACACCTTGTACCCTACGGTACCCTGAAATAAAACTGTTGAGCGCCGGTAATAAAAGAAAGGAAACAAAGGAATTATCAACAAAATATATTTTCAAATAAAATAAAAACTCGGAATACTATAATCGGTACCACCGGCACTCCCTGTATAGTAGAGGGCGAGTTTTCAACTATTTAACGATTTAAGCACAAAAGTTGAACAATAATAATTATTAAATCAAAAGAAATAAATCAATCGGTAATAACGGTCCTCCCTGTATAATAGAAAATGAACCAATGCTCTCGGCTATTTAATAACGTACCTTGAGTAACGGTGTATGCGGCGTCGGCACAGAATACTGGAATATGGGGTTGTGTCACTGAAGCAGTATCGGTTATTTTTGAAACAGTTTTTACTTGAAACAGATTGGAACAGGTATGCATCGAACGAAACAGTTCCACGGAACAGTTGTTTGGGTCTAATCATGGTTGGACGGAGTAACGGAGAGTCAGTTTCTTATGCTCTAAGGTCAGTTTATTATTTTTGGTTGCTGTCACAGTCGCAGAGCGCAAATTACGTGGAACTGGAACAACTTGTTATTAGGCATTGGAACAACTTGATATTTATTATTTAATAATGAATATTATGGAATCTGTGACCTGTTATTTTTAAGAAATAAAACAATAATAAAATAAGGTTGTTCCTTCAATAGGGTTTTTATTTTAGTTTTATTTCAGCAAAAAAACACATTCATAATAATAGGTGTTTAAATTATGTAATAAGAATTAATAACAACTATTAAGTTGTTCCTAGTTCCTAAATTGCTACAGAATACTACGGATTGAAATTTTGCGTTTTTTGTGGCTGTGATAGATACACTTGAAACAGTTGAAACATTAAAAAAACAAACTATTCCGTCGACGTGGAACTGTTTTGTTTTAGTTTCAGTGTTTCTGTATGTGTGGGACTCCGCGCTCGCACCAGATGCAAAACAACAAACAACGGTATACATTTTTGGAACAACTTGGTACTGGAACAGGTTATTTGAAACAGATATTTTATGAAACTGAAGCAGACTGTACCTTATATTGAAAAATCACTGTTTTACCCTTTCCTGCTGGAATAAACTTTACTTTAACTGTTTACGACCCTTAAGACGAGCAGCAGAACGGGGTAGCAGAGAAAAGAGTCAACGGTAGAACAGCAGCCTAAAGAGCGTCAACGGCAGGGCAGCAGCAAAGAGACGGAGCTCCATCGGGCTTTTGGATTTATACCTTACGACCGGACTGGTTCGGATTAGAAGTAGTTCGGAGTGGGAGATACCATCTCCAGTTTTAATGTTTACTTGCGTAGGAAATAAAAAATGGCCTTTTGACACCTGCTGAATTAACCTAGATAATTTACATAAAGTTGAATGTTTAAATCTGGATTCGAATTTCTTTAACTACGAGGGCTCTCACAAATGTTTAAAAACGGGAATTTCTAGGAAACACAAATGCAGAATGTTCCCAGGAGAAAATTAATGTAATTAATATTTTATAAATAAAATTTAGTGACTTCGTCACATTACCTAATAAAAATAAATATTATAATAATACTTCGTCACAATTTATTTCGGAAAAATATCACGTGAAGCTCACCAACTTCTCTCGTTTGATAAATATGAACATCTTCGTTAGGCACCAAACACTTTTTGTATTTAAAGAAAACATATTGCTTTATTAAAGTGAAAGAATAAGTCTCTCTTATCAGGATATTATTATCAGAATTGAAATTAATTTACCACTTGCACCAAAAACAGTAACTTATTACTCTCCTGATTGTAGAGAGTTTTAAATAAATTGCCGGAGGATATCAAATCCTGCAGATCTATTCACGATTTAAAAAAACATTGGAAGAATTTTAATAGAAAAATGTTTTTATACTGTAAATGAATTTCTATCAATTAGAATATCCTCTAAAGTTTTTTTAAAATAGGGCAGATTTTTAATATTTTTTATTTATTACATTTAATAATTCAGTTTCTGTAAATGTTATTAAAAACATTGACTTTTTGTTTTGGTCTATATACTGTAACACTATTTTGCTTTCTTCGTTTTGATTTAAATTTGTTCAAGGACCAGAAACCAAAAACTCAGCCTTTCAAATTAGAGCAACTCAATTTAAAAGAAAAGAGCTGCGATTGGTCATGGTTATCCAGTACGGCAATGTTTAAGAAGCAAACTAGCGAAGCATCAGCTCATTCAGATCACAGTACTTTTCCCAAAAATGAAAAATATAAAAATCTAAAGGTAAGAGAACTTTGCTTGTACAGTTGACGCAACCAGTGTGAACGCTCTTTGGCTGTCATGGAATTGTTTAATGAAATTCATTCTTGCAAGTCTGGCTTTGGCCAGTGGTGTTACAAAAAAAGAGGGGAGAAAATTGAGAACAAAAATATATTACTTTTATTACAGAAAACATTTATTATAATAGAAAATCAAAGGCTATGGCAAAATTTAATTAAATTAACATTTGAACATAAGAAACTACAAAAACCATTTATTAAAAGAGAAAATCAAAATACTTCTTAACAAAAATTGTTAACAAGTCCAGCTAAAGTTTTCTCTTTCTTCAAAACATTATCTTGAAGATCGGAATATCGGACATTTCTAAGAAAAATGTCTGCGCATACACAACTATTGACATACTTAAGAGGTTCTCAAGAAGTTAATTTTTTGGCGCTTAGACCCTTTCATAGGACCTGAAGCATGGTACATAGAACATTTTTTTGTGAAAAACTTAATTTCGGAAAAAAATGGCACTTAGGTGCTTTCTAATTTCCACTTTTCAATTTTCTTCCAATTTTGCTATAGCTCTTGAGCCTCAGTTAAATGATCTAAAAATTTCTTTAGTTGCGTATTCATCAAGGATCATTTTTAAGTGATTTTCTTAGATTAAAAGTTGTTGTAGTTGAATGTAATAAGTGTTAAATTTCATTTTATTGTTACCTTTCAGTACATTTGGATTCGCATCTGTGTGCGCCAGCCTGTCAAATATAACCTCGCTATGTGGCTCGATTTTGTTAATCGGCTTTGAAAAGCTTCCAGTTTAATACGAGCCCTAACCATTATATGTTCGGCCTTTTTATATTTTATTTCAGATATTTAATAGGAAACTTAGGTTTGTTTGTTTATGATCAAATCCCTAATTTTTTTTTTGGAGTTGCTTTACCGCGACCCATTTTCAATAACCACGGTGGACTATAAGGTGCACCAACTCTCATTTAAAAACAAATGAAAACGGTGATAAAACCTGGCCTACTTCCTAGCCAAAATCCACTAGGTTCGTACAGTTGGCGAGAAAATAAATAAAAGATAAAAGTAGGAGCTGCAATTTGAAAAGTGTTGACAAATAAATATTTTTTAAAATCTTAAAATAAATAATAAATCGTGGTGAATCGTTGTGCTGTTTATAATTTTGATTATGGGCGAGGTCTTCAACATATTAATAGCAGTTTTTTAATGCCAAAAAACAGTTATACAGAATATATGGTGCAAATTATTTATTGGTGGTACGAAAATAAACATTAAACCCAAAAGTTCTATTTGTGAAAAACATTTTAATGCAAGTTATGTTATCCGTGAAAAAGTAGTAGGAAACGTTATTTTTCAAGTAAATATTTTTAATGTCTACGTTTAAATGATTGTGTAGGTTCTGTAAAATGGTTATTCAACTTTGCCTTTTCTGTAATAAAAATAATTATTAGCATAAAGTTTTACTATATAAATAATATTTCGTATTATTTATCCTTTCTCCTTGGTACTAATAATGTTATGACTTGGACCCTATATAATGTGTTCATGATATAAATTTCATATACATAAGTATTTCTTTTAATATTTTTCTGACCCTGCGAATAAATAAAATCTTTGACTTATTCCTTTTAGCCTGATTACAATGCTAGTAAGTTGTCTCTGGTTACAAGAATCAAATAGATACTATGATAAATTTATTTTACTTGTAGCCTTTTTATTTTTAAGTGTTAAATATACATTTGTTTAATAATAATCATTCCCGAGTGTGTTTTGTTCCAGTTTTTTAAATGTATTTACTAGGTTTTATAGAAGTACTGATTTAAAATTTGAGTTGGTAAGAAATATTTAAGATTTTTCTATTTTGTATTTTTATAGGAGTTAACCCCTTTAAGTAAATAAATATAGTTCGGGGTCGAAGATGTTGGTGATTTGTGTATTGAATAATTTGTACATACACTGGTTTATAATTTAAATAATGTTTTTCTGATGTACCTAATAATTATTTATGGTAATCTTGTAGTTGACGGGTCTAGAAATGCGCATATTCACACCACTTTGCACTGAAGTCTAGAATTTGGCACAAATTTGAATTTTTGTAATTATCACTATTGAAAGGTATTATTGACATTAAAAATAACGATCGTATTACTTGAAAATCTTCAGAATTTTTTTTTTATTTTTATGGGATTTTCAATCGATGTAAAAATTGGTAAATAGACGATAAAAAGTTATTTCAATATGCTTATTCCCTGGTTCCAAATAATTAAATGTAATGTGGCAAGTATATGTAACGATTCCAACTGTCAGACCTAGCCGGAACAAGAATGGTGCGGACAGGCGCATATCCAGACCCTTCAATTACAAGATTACCATTATTTAATGTGGAGCGCAAATATAACAAAAAACTACCTAAAAAATGCTGTTCCTGCTTTCATTACTTACGATGGGACTACTTCTCAACGGAGACGAAAGTATGTGGAAAGTATTGCTGATACAGTACCGAAGTTATCCACTTAGGAATATAGGAAATATTTTTTTATACCTAACAACTTAATATTTCCTGATTTATTGATACTATGTATTTGAAATTCGAAGTAATCATTATGACACAGCAGTGTTCTTATTGTATTCAGATTCTAACACGAATAAAACATCTTATTAAATGTTTGTTAAAATTATTAATTTATTAATTTTACATTAGAAAGAAAATTAACAATACACACAAAATTATTTAAAATTAGAAATAAATACAATTATACATTATCCATTATTATCCTTTTACATACTTAATTTAATCGTTCATTATTTAATTAGAACTCATTTTATAATTTTACTAATTAGAAAATGTTCTATTAGATTAGCAGTAATGAAAAATTAAGTAGGAAAATTTCAAATGTATAGCTTACAGATTTATTATGGGGTTTTCATATTAATGTACTCAATAAGTAGGTTTATTATGTTCGCTTGTACGCATCACAGTTAGCAGCAGACAGTAACAAACCTGACAACGCTCCCAATTTCAGAAAAACAGTATAACAATTTGTTTTACATTATATATTTCAGTATTGTAATTAGAAAAACAATTTTTAAATATTTACAAAATTTCACCAGTGTTAGAGTAAAACAAACTTAAGTTTGGTTCGATCCGATGGTTGCGCCGTAGATTTGTTGACTATCGTTACCATGCCAACCTCTAACACGGCGATGGCCAGTACCGTAGCGTAAAGAGGCGAATAGGTGAAACAATTTGCATCTAACAGCGCTATGTGGTATATCTAGTGCTCTTTTTTATTCAAGTGGTGTATTTCCTCATTCTTATTTTTTTTAATTTAGTGCCGTAGTAGTTATAGTAGAGTAGCAATAATAGTTAGTGTATAAGTTTAGTTATAGTATCAATATAGTTAATTTAGAAATAAAAGTGATTTGGCTCGGAAAAAAACGTCGTCGTGACAAAAAAATTAAGTTAAGCCCTGGAGAAACAGAAACACTTAAAAATGTAATCTATGGCTTCTACGCCATCGAGAAAAGATCACCTACACTTGCTGGTAAGTATATAAGTTTTCGTTCCCAAAACATTTTAAGTACCTACTTCTATTTATTCAAGGTATTATGCAAAAGATGAAGGACAAACAAATGGAATTTCCAGGGTCAATTGAGACATTAAGGAAAACAATAAACAAGTTAGGATTCAGGTGCTTATACTTTTAACGATCTACCATTCCGCTAATTTACAGAACTTATTTACGAGACACCCTGTATAATCACAATATACAATAAATTAGGACAAAGCCTTTTTGCGTATTCTTCAAATATTTTATAACAAATTACAGGTGGCGAAAAACAGAAGATAATCGGAGTGTCCTGATAGAAAACCATGATATTCGAATAAAAAGAATTGAATATTTGAAGCTACTACAATATAGATCTGAGGGCAGATCAATAGTGTATACCGACGAAACCTATATACATAGCAGCCACACTCAACCAAACCGCTGATCAGACAGAAACGATTAATTATTGTTCATGCTGGAGGAGAGACTGGGTTTATACCTAATGGACTTTTAATTTTTAAATCAGGTAATTAATTCACGCATACCCTACAAATATCTTTAATTTACCTATGACTAGTCTCATTTCGTACGACGTATTACTGAACCAGTCACGAATGTTAATTTCACACTTACAAATTTTTGTCGAAATTGATGTGGTGAGTGGTGGTGATATAATAAAGCATACATTAATTTGTGAAAAATATGTTTATTGCAATAAAGTAAATGTAATGAATAATTTTATTTATATGTATACAGAAATACTGAAAAATACTATTCAAATTTACAACGTACTGTAATTTTTCTAAACATGATCCAACAGATTTTCTTCCTTCTACAAATCACTGACTGTTTCCTGTATTGCACAATCAAGATCCCTGTACATCATAAAATATCATTCATTTTTCGCCGAACATAAAATAAATATTTTGCGAAAAACCCAAAAATACTCGAGTACAGTATCGTATTCCGTTAAGTATTCACATATTTTGATTGGGGTACTTATACGAATTAAGATGATCTGTAGTTATTTAACAGGTAACTAACTAAGAAAGGACGCTCTGTTTGGGAAAACCCAAACATGCTGCTTTGTGTACTTATTGAATATCTAATAGAAATAATACATATTTAATAAAGTACTTTATAATTTAAACCAGGTAATTTCGGGATGATAGTACGAATTAAATGAGACTATCAATAATTGGTTTGGGAGAGTCCGTACAAACTGAAACTAAAACAGGTATAATTTTTGCATCATACAAACTGAGACAGTACGAAGTGAGACGACACCTTTATAACAATAAAACAATTTTATTACAAAACCAGTAACCGAAAATACTTCTAAATCTCAATAAAATAAATGCAAGCTACTATCGTGAACAATTTCAGGAAACTTTAATTTTCAGGATGTAAGAGCGGCGATTATCACGATGATATGAACCATGG